AGCTATTTTATAAAAATTATAAATAGACTAATGTAATCTCATCATGATATATGGAAATATACAAAATTGTTGTTTTACACATATCTTTTTAATTTCTCAACTCACCACACGACAGCAACAGCTGGAGAAGCAAATTAAATTGATAAAGTGGCGGAGTTTCGAGCGCATTGGTGATTAAAATGGATATGAATACAACTATGTGATTAATTAGTTATGTTACCCCAATGAGTTCGGGTCCACTTCCCTAGTTCGAGGACGGACGATAACTTCTTTTTCTAAGAAAATAACTTAAAAGGATAATGATCGTAGCAAACATCTATTACCTAATTTCCTTACATCACAAAACGTTCGTTAATCCGACTTATAAATAAATTGAAATCATTATGAATATCTCGAATTACGATAGATTCGTGATTTAATATTTAAATATTTTATTAGTCCTCCCCATGCTTAGTATGGTATTTTTGCTTAGTACTAAGCGTAGACATATTTAATAGGAGAGGCAAATGGGTCCTAAAAAGATTTGAACTCAAGACCTCCCACTCTGATACTGTGTGAGATTTTATGGGATCGCCGATAATTTTTCCAAAAGTTTAAGTTGTTAGATGAAAACATGATTTCATATTTAAATATTATATCTGACTCTTTGCTGAGAAACATCCTAATTGTTAGAATAATTTAATATTGAACCGCACCTTCATCTAAAAGTTTAAGCTTTTAGAACAGTTATCAAATCTCACATGTTATCAAAGCTGGAGGTCCTAAGTTTAAATATTTTCAGGCCCTGTTTGAATCCCCAATTAAATGTGCCCATGCTTAGTACTAGGCAAAAAAAAAAGGGGGACTAAAAATGAGACGGAGTGGTAGAATAATTAATTCATCTAACAGCTTAAGCTTTTAGAATAGTTGACAGTGGTCCCACCAAATCTTACACTAATTACTATCTCGTTTTGATCGAGGATACATGATTCCTAAGAATCAAGATACATGATATTTACAGTACAACGATCCATCTTAAAATGCGAACACTATGTAGACTTTGCTTCCTTAAGCGGAAGAACAATCACGATGATTATAGATCGATCGATCATGATACGCCTTGATCACCACCAATCTCGTACACATCGCAGCACGACGTCCGTATGAATTGCACTTCCATGTCGCGACGTGCATGAGATTGTTCACCATCGACAGTACTCTCAATAAATTCACAAAAAAAAAAAACAGCATTTTCTCCCCCGATTCGATGTTTGGACCTATTTACGGAAAATCAGACATGACATTAATTCATCCCCCATTCGCAACCCCACAAAACGAAACCCTTTTCCAATAATTTCTTCTTCAATTTTTTTTTCTGAATTATGAAAAAAAAAAAAATAGTCTCTGTCGGTGGTGCATATCATCATTTAACTTTGAACTTGCACTTAGATTATCCCCATCAAGCTCATAGATTACCAAAACGTACCGGACCGGATTGAACCGAATCTCCAATTTTTTTCTAATCAATCGAGAACTAATGCGCGTCATGATCGCGATCGTGATCATGATCACGACCTTCTCTCTTAAAGCCTACCCCGATGTGATACCACTCTCTCCCTGAAAGAGAAGGCTAGATGGGATGTCAATTTCATTGAATGAATAATCGCCACAATACATTGTAACAATACTATAAGACCGGCGAAGTACCGCCATGTCATAAATTAGGGAAACTTCCGTATTTAGCATGGAATGTACCATATTATATACAAGCCTTCTTCTTCGGACGGCATTTTTATATTTTGACCCACCACGGTGTCAGGTGAAAGGTGGCTTCCATGGGGAATAGATGGTTTAAATGATGGGAGTTGGTTGAGCTGATCATAATTGTCGTGGTTAGCTCGAACTTAGGCAGCTCTCATAAATACGTTACCGTCTGATTCCGGCGATCGTAACGTGCCCTTTTCGACGCGACGATCAAAGGGTTTCGTGGGAATCGATCGGCTTCTCCATTAATCAGACACCAAAAGCACGTGATGACAAGCAACTACGGATATGTTCGTACGCGACTCGGTACATCACATGATAGACCATAACATTCGATAATAGCCGGCACCATCTCATTCCGGTACGATCATTCGGGCCCGACCGGAAGCGCCGATGGTCCCACTCCCCGTCGTTGCTGGAGAGAACCGGCGGCCTCGATCCGGAATTTCTAAAGCGAGAAGGGAAGGATCAATGGGACTTCAATGGACAGTGACTCTTCGTTTTCATTTGTTTTTTTTTTTGGCAAGCCGTAGTTCGGTCGTCGTTAAGTTTAGAAAGCGCTATCCTACGAACTAATTTTTGCCACTTAAATTATTTTGACCCGGTCATTAATATTTTGTCAGGGGAAAATTAAGAACATTAAATTCAATACAACGATCCACCAAGAGATTTCAAATATATATATACATAATAAAAAAATACGCACAAATAAATAATTTTTTCTTCAAAGGAGAGTCTTATTCGAGGCTGTCGAGATCTGCTTTTGCATGGCCCGTACAGCTAACTCCGACAGGGGCTTCTCCGACACACGAAAGGAAGAGAACAATCCCACGCGACCACGTCATAACATTCGCTCCCACGGCCAGCCACCGATTGCCCCCGAACCAAATCTCGGCCGTCCGATGTCAATAAAAAGAAAAAAGAAGAGACGAGCACGTCGAAGTCAAGAAAACTGACCGGAAATCGGTGAAACGTACAGAGGTGAGAACTTCGATGATCGAGCCCACACACGGGCAGGATTTTGACTTTCTTTTTCCTCCGCCCTTTTCAGTTCAGTCGAAGAAAGAATCTTAGGAGCTGTACTGTGACTACGTAGCTTATTACAACTTTAATATTTATATAAAAATAAAAATAATATAATATATGTGTAATATATATTCGTTTATACGTGTCATTCTCGTCAAAGCAGTGTCGTGTCTGGTCCTGCTGCGGTCTCTGCTGTGGCAGGGTCTCATGCATGCAGCGTTTTGGAGTTTCGGAGCCAGCAAGAAACGTCCAACCAGCTGAGTAAATGCCCGTTTGCGCTGGCAAGGGAGATTCGTGGTAGATTCGTCAGGCAGGCATCCCATGCGAACATCGTTTGAAATGTGACGAAACATTCTCCATTGATTCGAGCAGCGTTGGGGGTGTGGGGGGGGGGGATGTACGAGCATTTATTGTGTTGTTTTAAGCAGGCTTTCTTTATCGAACGGTATGATTTGACGCGGGTTTAATCGGATTGTGGAGTCGGAAACCGAGCACGGAAAGGTCCGATTCCCTACGCCGTCGTGGACCGAGCGTGCGATACGGGTTCGATTTTCTGCACTGTTAGGGGCGAACGGTTCCGTGTTTGAGAGCCGGAGAAACCAGCATGAATTTTGGCTCGCCTCTGACCTGCGGTGTGGCTTTCGGTGGATCGCTTCGAAGATCGGAAGTCTTTTAACTCGATGCGACTTTCTTGTCTCGAATAAGTTACGGCAATCGTACTGCACGGTCGTCGTTCGGGTCCGGGGCAACGGCATCGAAAAATCCCTCCTCCATTTGTCGAAACCATCGAACGACGACGACGACATGAAAGAAGGCGAATGCTCCGGCGGCATGATCACACCACGCTCAGTAGAGGTTTCTGCATTACCAGGGAAGTATCGTGTCGCACGTCCGCATCACACCGTGATGAAAAGTCTGTACAATTGCCGTCCGCGAACGGCTGGAATGTATGGGAGTCAGTTTTGCAGCCACGTGCCGTGCCCATATTTCCAAAGGTAAGCATGGTAAATACTTTCTTACATCAACACCGACAACAAAATCTACTGAATGCCCAAGCAAAAAACAGAAGAAGAAAATTTACCACCCGCTAGGCAATTAATTTTTGACTGTTTTGACTTGGAACGAGTGAAAAAAAAATCAGGCAGGTCTTTTTTGACCTCGGGGTCTACTATGCTGTCCCCAAAATCAGGCAGCACCGTGCATGGCTTCGCGGATCACCGTTCATCTCCAACGGAGATCTTCTCCGGTGGGCCCCACCGCGACAATCTCCTCTTCTTCTTTTTGTTTTTTTTTTCTCTCTCTGTTTTTTTTTTTTCTCTTTGGCGAAAGCGGATACCAAGACGACGCAAATCGCCACCAAGAAGGCACAGCTCATTTAGCCCTTAATTAAACCTGCGAAATCTCCCCCCCCCCCCCCTCCTTTTTACTCTCTAATCCACCCAAATCCCCTTAATCAAAACCAAATCATAACTCTATAACCGAAGGAAAGCACCATAAAAAGAAACAAATTAGCTCGCGATGCCTTTGACCTAGAAAAAAAAGGAAAAATTCCTAAAAATATCAGAGGTAACTACATATCATTCTCATGAACCACATGGGTTTCACTTCTCCGATCACATCATATCATATAAATTATTGAATGCGGGATTAGAGAACTCGCGTGGAATTGCTCCGGTACAAATTGGATTGAATAGAAAAGCAATATAATCGAGCCGTAAAACCTCTCGTGCGGTGCACTGGTAAATTTTGCGCGTCGCATCAAATTCACTTTTTTTTATCGGTGTTGGCTCGGGGATTATTAATTTTTACTTTCGTGCGAGATTCGACTGGATAGAAAAATTCCGAAATGATTACCGGGTTAATGAGCTGGTGGTGGTGGTGGGCAAAGAGATAGCGACGGAGGTGGTCCAAGGTCGCGCCCTCGAAATCGGATCCAGCTCAGCCTTGCTGCCGTGCTCCACCCGCGAGGGGCAAATACGTCATTCCGCCCCCCGCGGATTACATGCTCCACCTCCGGGATTCTGCTTCTGGATTAGATTAAAAGCCACACTTAATCACGACATTAATTAATCAAGGTTTAGAGATAATAAAACAAAAGCATTTATTTATTTATTTATTTCTTGTAATTCTTCTTCTACTATTTTATTTATTTATTTATTTCTTTTGCTTTAATGATGTTTTTTGGAGCTTTTCCAACGTCTTGCCTTTTAAGTGACACTTCGAGTCCGAACTCCGAACCTCTCTCTCATCGCATTCCACCCCCCACCACCGCCGGAACCGCCGCCGCCGGAACCGCCGCCGCCGGCGTCAGTCCACCTCCGCCTCCGCCGCCGCGTCCTTCTCTCTCTCTCTCCGTCTAGGCTCGAGGAGAGCTGGACGGTGAATGCTGAACCGGCGGACGACGCCCTGAGCTGGGAGATCTCTCCAGTTTGGCTTCCGCGAACTCGCTGCGTTCGAGCTCGAGCTCGAGCGCGCGCTCTCCTCTGGAGCTGCATTCACTCCGGTGAGTTCGATTCCTATTGCGAATCCGGCGGTTTCCGCTCTTACATTGGTTCTCTCTGCGTTCGTCTGCGCGCTGTCTAGTATAGGACTCGCCGGCGGAAACAGAACGGGAAGCTTTCCGATGATGATTCCGCGCTCCTCGATTATGACGTCGCCGATCATCCTAAGCGAGGAAGCTCCTTCGGTTTTTTGCTTTGGCGTGCTCGCGTTTGCTCTTTCCGTCGCTGTCGGCGACGGGCGTCCTGCGCTGGATTCTTTCCGTTTCCAGGTCCGCTTCTGTAATCGTGCGAATGGTCCCCGGCGTTGGCCGGATTTTGGCCGTAAATGCCCCATACGTCGCCGTCGGGTTCCGGTTCCCGATCACGAGCTCTTGGGAGCTTCGGTGCTCGTTCGCTAGTGTTCTGCTGCGATTTGTGCATGTGTTTGATCCGTCTCTCAGTTTTCGCCGCGGAAAATTGAGCCGTCTTTCTTTTCTTTTTTTCCTTTCGTTTTTCGAGTTCATCGTCTTTCGCTATCATCTGAAATCGCGTTCTCATTTCCTGCTCCCGTTTCCAGTTTCCCTTTTTTAGTAAGTGTGAGATCGTTACCGTTTAAAGTTTTCCGATCACTTTTTTTTTGTTGTGGGGGGAGCAGTTTGTCTTTGCTCACATCAATCGTCTCAGCGTGCTTGTTCTTCCAAGTTGAATTTTGCGTGAACAAGGTCGTGACGATGTTCTGGATGTGTTTTTGTCTCAGTAGCTGCATTGCGAATTTACGGTGTCCGTCTTCGTCCCTCGACGATGCATGTGGTGTTTACTCATTTGTGTATGCGGACTGCGAAATCGACATCCTGTCGTCCTCAATTCGGGGAAATGCAAGTGAGAGCAGGCATGATCTGTAGAGAAACTTGCGGGTCTTCTCTTCCCTTCATAGCTGGGGAACAAGCAATGGAGATTTTAGCATCACTAGTCATCGACTGCGTCACTCGAACAGAGTGATAATGTGTCTCGTTGTCTGATCTGACCTTTATTTGCATTTCGGTCGGGCTGGAACGTCGAACAGAAGACTGCGAAATTGAAGTTCTTCTGATCTTTGTCCAGCTCGATGTTAAAAGATTAAGTAGGAGTCGCACTTGTAACGGGTTGAAGTCTCCTTCATCAGATAGTTCAATTGGCAGCCTATTGTTTCTCATGCCCTTGGAATTTATTTCATCCAAGTTTTGATTTCTCATCCTTTGCTCATTATGAGAAACTTCTTTTGGTCCGTGGGATCGATTACGACAATATGCCTGCTGACAACAACACTTCTTTTCGTTCCCTTACTTTGAGTTCAGTTTTGGTTCTTTGTTAGAGCAATTCCTCGTCCTTTAGATTTTCGGTCCAATTGGAATGTTCTGCTCTGATATTGCTGTACACTCAAAAAGATATGAGTGATGTACGAGTTTAATTGAAGAACCTGGTTTATATTTTTTTATATTCCCTCGAATACCAACTAGAATATTGTCTTAAAAAGAGAATACCAACCAGATTACAGTGCTCTACTCAAACGGATAAGAATCACTCCGGTTTGGATTATGTTGTTTCAGATTTCAACATGATTTTAGCTTGAATTACATTAAGAAGCTTTTTCCATCAGGGACGAAATTTAACTCATATATGAAGGGGATTGCAGAGTTATAAACGACACAGCTGTATTTGGCTATTACTCATGAAGCTATCGTATAGAAGTTTGGTTTCAAAAGAATCTGAAGACTTGGAATACCTATTGGATCCAATTGTTGCTTGAATTGCCAAATCTTTAGTGGGTGATGTTACCTGTTTTTCACTACCTATCGTATGTGTTAATATGCAATCAGTCCCACTCAAATGTCTCTCCTTCCCTGGCGCTCTCTGATCAATCAAATGTTGTACAGGGATCTGCACCCGAAGGATATCACCAGGCTTGGAAGATATTATCACACAGGTATTGCTCTATTGTTGTTGGATTAATACTGGGAAGTGTGTACAGCCACCTGTTCGCTAATGTGTTACATTTCACTTCACTATAGGGCTAAGTAATTGACGGATATGGAGCGTCGAAGTTGGCCATGGAAGAGAAAATCGTCGGACAAGTCTTCTGCTGAGAAAGCAGCAGCTATATTGGACTCTGCCAGTGCTGCCGTTACACAGGCAAAGACCCAGGTTGATCAGGTTCGTTTGCTGATAGATATAGTAACTCAGCATTGGGTCGTGCCTTTTTCTTCTGAGTACCTGGAATTTCCTTTTTCAATCCGTCCTCGAAGTCTGCCAAACTGGTTGCATGTGTTGAATGTCTATCAGAATGTGTACTCCTGATACATTCTTGACCCAATTTCTGGGTGAACTTCCTGCTTCTACTTTGTTCTTGTTCTGTGTGGTGAAGTCCTCTTAATTGTTGGTTTAGATGGTTTGCCGAAACCACCAATATGCCATATACATGTGAACATTTGCAGATGCCCCAGATGCAATTTTACCTTCTCCCTTACCCTCCTTAGTAGATTGACTCCTGTACATACACTGATCTAAGTTAATTCTTCTTCAAGGTTCCTTTTTTTCCGTGTAATTTGCTCATCAAAATCAGCAGTGCTATCTTTCTAGGTGCAGCAAAATATCACATTCACTATTATTTCCCTTATATCAATTGTTCTCCTATTTAAAAGGTCCCATTTGAATTTATTCCCTCATGTATAGTTTTTCGTTTCTTCAGTAACCCCTTAGGCTAAACTTAGGTGAGTTTTGGTGTTTTTTTTTTTTTTCTATGCAAGTTTGTGTTTTTTTGTTTATGTCCTTACACGATGTTCTCCCTTTGCTGTTCACAGGATAACTACAAGAAACCGAATTATGTTCAAATTTCTGTGGAGTCCTATTCACATCTCACCAGTTTAGAGGATCAAGTAAAGATATACGAGGAGCAAGTTCAAACACTTGAGGAACAGATTAATGAATTAAATGAAAAACTATCTGCCGCCAATTCAGAGATAACAACAAAGGAGAACCTGGTGAAACAGCACACGAAAGTTGCTGAAGAAGCTGTCTCAGGTATACTGCCAAGCTATTCAAGTCACATGAGAAATACTGGCAGAGCAGAAGCACTTGTTTTATTGACCTTTCTAGCTGAATCATTTGACAGGTTGGGAAAAGGCTGAGGCAGAAGCTTTGGCATTGAAAGGTCATCTAGAGTCGGTAACTCTCGAGAAGCTTACTGCTGAAGATCGTGCATCCCATCTGGATGGTGCTCTTAAGGAGTGCATGAGGCAGATACGGAATCTGAAGGAAGATCATGAAAAGAATTTACAAGAAGTTGTTCTTTCCAAAACCAAGCAGTGGGAAAAAATCAAGCATGAATTTGAAGCCAAGATCATCAGTCTGGACCAAGAACTGCTTCGTTCTGCGGCTGACAATGCTGCACTTTCGAGGTCACTTCAAGAGCGTTCTAACATGCTAATTAAGATCAGTGAAGAAAAATCAAAGGCTGAGGCAGACATCGAGCTGTTAAAGAGCGATATTGAATCATGTGAAAAGGAGATTAATTCCCTTAAATATGAACTTCATGTTGCTTCTAAAGAACTTGAAATACGCAATGAAGAGAAGAACATGAGTGTGAGGTCTGCAGAAGCAGCCAACAAACAGCATATGGAGGGTGTCAAGAAAATAGCCAAGCTAGAGGCAGAATGCCAAAGACTACGTGGTTTAGTTCGAAAGAAATTGCCTGGTCCTGCAGCACTCGCCCAAATGAAGATGGAGGTCGAGAGTTTAGGTCGAGATTATGGAGATTCTCGCCTGAGGAGGTCTCCGGTCAGGCCTCCTAGTCCTTACCTTTCTCCTATGCCAGAATTTTCTCTTGAGAATGTGCAGAAATTCCACAAGGAAAATGAGTTCCTTACAGAACGTTTGTTGGCAACGGAAGAAGAGACAAAGATGCTGAAAGAAGCTTTAGCAAAACGCAATAGTGAATTGCAGGTGTCAAGGAACATGTGTGCCAAGACTGCTAGCAAACTTCAAATTCTAGAAGCGCAATTGCAGATCAGCAATCAAGACAGAAGCTCACTGAAACCGATCGTTCAAATTCCAGCTGATGCTTCTTTCAGTCATAATGCCAGCAACCCCCCTAGCTTGACCTCAATGTCTGAAGATGGAAACGAAGATGAAAGAAGTTGCGCCGAGTCCTGGGCAACAGCACTAATCTCTGAGCTCTCTCATTTTAAGAAGGGAGAGAACATTGAGAAACCAGTTAAAGCTGACAATGCGAGTGACTTGGAGCTTATGGATGACTTCCTTGAAATGGAGAAGTTGGCAAATAATTCAAACCGATCCATTTCTGTTTCGGATGGTTCAGTTATCAAGGGACCTGACACTCCTTGCAACAGTGCCCCAGGAGAAACTACTAGGGGCAAAGATTCGGATTCATCTCCCACTGGGCCATGTTCTGATGTTGAAGCATTATCAGCAAGTCATGAATCTGCCACGAAGATGACATTGATGAAGCTGCAATCGCGAATCTCTTCAATTTTTGACACTAGATCAAATGGGGATGCCGTGGACAAAATTTGGAAGGATATCAAACAAGTTTTGCAGGATGCACATGATACACTTCATCTACACCCCATGTCTTGCACTTCGGATGAGAAGCAGTGTTCTGATGTGTTATCCAACAGGAAAACTTGTGCTGAAGATGCTTCCGCCCCCGGTGGAAAAGATCTCGATTGGATGGGAGATGCCAAGCCAGCTAATGGAGCTGATCAGACATTAAGTAAAGAAATGGCAGCTTCTATTATCCAGATTCATGAATTTGTACTGCTTCTAGGCAAAGAGGCAATGGCGGTCCATGAAATATCTGTTGATGGTGATGGATTAGACAGGAAAATCGAGGAGTTTTCTGTTACCTTCCATAAAGTGCTAAATAACGACGCAAATTTGTTTAATTTTGTTCTTGACCTTTCTCTTGTTTTAGATAAGGCTAGAGCGCTTAAGTTTAATATCCTTGGATACAAGGGTGTTGAATCAGAAGTTAGCAGTCCTGATTGCATCGACAAGGTTGCACTGCCTGAGAATAAGGTTATTCAACGGGATGCTTCAAGAGAGAGTTATGAAAATGGCTGCAGAAACAGCAAGGGTCTCACTCCGAATCCTGATGTTTCTGATGATAATGGAGGGTCAGACTATGAAATAAGTACTTCGCTGAAAATCTCTTTGGAGGATTATGAAAAATTAAGATCTGAGAAAGACAAAATGGCCATGGACTTGGCCAACTCAACTGAGAACTTAGAGATAACGAAGACCCAGTTACAAGAATTGGAGCAGCTGCTAGGAGAAGTGAAGACACAGCTGGCCGCTTCTCAAAATTCTTACAGCTTGGCAGAGACTCAGCTGAAATGTATGGCAGAGTCATACAGATCTCTGGAAGCGCGTGCACATGAATTAGAAGCTGAAATAAAAATTCTGCAGGCAAAAATAGAGAGCCAGGATAATGAATTTCAGGAGGAAAAGAGAGGTCATCAAGATGCTTTGGCCAGATGCAAGGATCTTGAAGAACGTTTGCTGAGGTTTTCACTTTGCATCACACTTTTTTCATAACATTTTCGTTATACTTTCCTGGCATAATCTGCATGATATTGCTAATAGCTGTGACTGGTCAAGCAAAAGGTGGCTTGGAGTAAAATTCTTTTCCCCCATGTTTTACCGCTTGCTTATTTTCATGCTCGCTTTCTCTTTTCCTTCACATCCCCCCTCCCCCAAACAAAGTTTACTTTTCTCTGTCCGTAGCTTGACGCATGTGAACGCTGCTTGCAACTGGTCCATTCATTCAATCTTAGCAATTTCTCTTGACATCCTTGCTTTCATGTAAGTTGACTCTATTTTCTGATTCCTGGATTATCCATTTATGTGTAGGAATGAGAGCTGCTCATCACAGGGTGATGCTGACCAAAGCAAACAGGTTGGTCCTTATCCTTAATGTTGGTGGTCCATAGATGGATTGAGCATTTTCTACAAAAACCAAATTTTCACCTTCACCTTAATTTATTCTGCTTGTGATGGCTTCTGTGTTTGTCCATTGCTGAATTTGATTTATCACTCATTGCTTTGCTCATTTCGTTTCTAGGTGGGTGCATGTGTGGGTTTTGTAGCTTTAAAGCAGTGCCACAAGCAATTGATTAGAGCTGAAATTCCACCATTATGTTTCTTCTTTATTCCATGACAAGCAGTTTGTTTTTGGTTGCAGGAGAAGGAGCTTGCAGCTGCAGCAGAGAAGCTAGCAGAGTGTCAAGAAACAATTTTCCTACTGGGCAAACAATTAAAAGCATTACATCCAAATTCGGAGCTCACAAGTTCCCAGGAAAACGAGAGAACTCAAAAGGAGGACGAAACTAGGGTTGGGGGCATGAACTTGCAAGACATGGATCAGGCTGAGATGGATGATGTCTCAATAACCAGTTTGCAACGAACGGGCGATGAATCGCCGCTGCATTCTCATAACTTCCCGTGCAGCCCCTCAGAAAGTGAAGCAAGCTTTCTGAGATCTCCTGTCAATTCCAAACGTCCAAAGCACAGACCCACCTTGTCGACCTCTTCGTCTTCCTCGTCAGGCCCTACTCCCGAGAAGCAACAGAGAGGATTCAGCAGATTCTTCTCCTCGAAAGGCAAGAACAGCCAATAGGGCTCGCGACGGGGACAACCAGCACCTTGTATAGGTCGGGTTCCAAATAGGTCGGGTTCCAAACCTGCGCTAATAACATATCTCGGGTACAAAAGATGATGTAATATTACTCAGACCGGATGTTCATATTCATGTGGTAGTTTGCAAGTTGGGAGGTTCAACTGGTGAGGTTGAATCGGCCGGGTTTTCCAAATGACAGGATTTTGCAACTAGCTTCTGTACATGAGTTATGTTTCTGTTAATTCCATCTCTTTGCCAACTTGCTGTCTCTTATTGACCAAGACATTTTTTCGCTACTCATTCCTCATATACGGCTAATACAAACATAGCGTTTATTGTGATGTTTTGTCCGAATAGTTCAGGAAGAAACGAGCACGAGAACGAGCATGTACTTGTACAAATCAAGCTCAGGAGCTCAATACTGTCTCATTCCTTGCGTATATAATATAACACAGGAGTTTTAGAATCCTCTGGCCCATGTGATTATTTGGTTCAATAGGCTGAAGCCTGCAGGCCATTTGTTCATCCCTTCGTGGGCTTTCCAGAGTGGTTGCTGATGGGTTTTCCCTGTGGTCAGCAGAACTTAGAACTGCCGTGTACATGCGCCGTCCCGGCACCGACCGACCCAATAACCTCATTTTCCGAGTTTGAAATTTAGGTAGTGGATCGAGTTTTTCGTTTCACCGGACGCTTCGAGCTCTCACAAACATTTAGTACTATCGCCCCGCCCTCGGCGCGGGGATTTTTTTTGAACTCAGCCTGAGTAATAATACATCAGATGATAAATGGGGGAAAGAGAGAAATGGTAGAGAGCCAATAGCTCGAGCGAAGCACAGTAGGTCCCTACAAAGAAGCTCTCCGAAGTGTTCGATTAGATAGGGTCTGTTGTATTCGGTTTTGACACGAGACGAACAGGCCACATGACCACAAGGGGCCATGGCGTAGGACGTATGATACGATGCACATGGCTTTCCGCTGTGGGGGCAAACATCGCGTGCTCATCATCCCCCACAGGCACACACCCAATTTAATGACAACAGCCGCTCTGAAGCTGTGAAACTTGTGCGGGGGGACCGGGGGCTGAAGTTCGTGTATTGTATGATTTTGCATTGCTAATATCTAAATGAAAGAACAGCTCACGCTCCGTTTTCGTGGCCATACACATTATCTATGTCGATCCGAAGTTAATTAAGAGAGAGAATAAGGTTAGGCTGTTCAAACTTTCGGAACAGGGGACAACGGTCGCATAGAATTTCACACGTTATCATAGTAGGAGATCTCAATTGCCAATCTTCCCGGGCCCCTTATTTACATTTCCACGTTTATTGCCATGCCAAAGTCCGGCTTGCGGGTGTGTGTGCGAGTGTTGGAATATATAAAATATCAAGCCACACTTTAATCAACGGTTGTCACTCCACGATTCACTCATCATGCTCTTCCTTTTTCTCTAGAACAAGGAGAACCCAGAATCCTCAACATGACCGATTCTTTTATAGATACTTGTAAATCATTCGGCGTGCATGTGCATCGAGTAAGACTCCACTCATGAGGCGACGGGGCCTGACACTGAGATTATTATGAGTGGTAGATAGCACAAAGAAACGACCATAAATTCCTTGAAATGAAGATTTTCTTTTATTGAGCTCGAAGGACCGATTTTCATTCCGATCAAACTTAGGTGTTGGACACCCAAAATCGCCAGCTCACGGCACAATGCAAGAGACAATCCACCTCGCCTTACCAGTACACGTGAATATAAAGTAACTAGAATACATAAGCTGGGTGCATGTTTCTTCTTTAAATGACTATTCTATTGCTCGAGAATTCAAGGACAAGCTCGTGTATACATATTTATTTCAAGTTGCCCAAGTTGGCGAGACAAAAAAGAAAGATACGTCCCAGCAATCCCGTTCACATACATTAAACCAGACAGCACCGCATGATCTCGACGCTGTTTCGAATGTGAAGAAAGAGGGAAGAAGTTCTCTCGGGAACGCGTGCAATGGCGTTGGCACCTTTGATTTCGATGTTGGGAAGCGTCGTTGATTTTGTACGTCAGATCTCACGAGCTAATTTGTCTTCCACATGCAAATCTCGTAGGGCGCGGAGAGCATTTGTGTTCTGCGTGCATGCATGCAACGACTGAAGTCGTTTTATAGAGCTAGATAAAGTGAAGCATTGTCGGTCCCCAAAGGGAGAGAGTTTTCGATTTCATCCGTTAATCTTTTCTTAGTTCGAACTAGTTGGGTTTTGAAAAAAAGAAAGATAAAAATGAAAAAATCTAGAAAATTCAAATATTAATTAAAAAACGGCGTCGTTTTCTCTAGATTTGTCCACATCATATCGCTGGCCGTGTCACGTATGAATCCCGGAGATAACCGGACGCCACGGTAACATTTTCAAGCAAAATTTGTCGGAACGACCGCATTGAAATTTCGAGCAAAAGTTTAAGAATATATTAGCAAAATTGAAAAGCTTATGACTGAATTAACATCCGTACAATAGGTTTACGACTTTTAGGTTAATTGTCCCGGGCATATTCAATGTGATAATTTGGGGAAAAGTGTCAAAAAGGTCCTAAACCTTTTGATTTTGGCAGGATATTGTTAACGTGGATGCCAACCGGCCTACGTGACACCGCCGGCGATGACGTGAACAACTTTTAATAATATTTTAATATTTTTTCGATTATTTAATTTCTTTTTCTTTCTTATCCTTTCTTCTTCCTCCAGCTAGTCGTCAGTCCGGCGACCGGCTGGAGGCTAGGGCCAGCGAGCCCCGCTTGCCACTGGCGAGGCGCGACCTCGCCGAATCTAGCGAGGTCGAGCCTCCCCCATGGCCAGTGAGGCTCGATCCTCGCCAGATCCGGCCAGGGCAAACCTCGCTTAGCCCAACGCGAGGGTCGAGCCCTCGCCGGATGGCAGCGAGGGCAGCCTCGAGCTAGGCTAGGCAAGGCACAACCTCGCCGGATCTGGCGAGGTTGGGCCTCCCCCATGGTCGGCAAGGCTCGACCCTCACTAGATCCGATGAGGGCAAGCCTCGCCCAGCCAAGCGTGTGGCCGCGAGGCGAGGGTCAAGCCTCGCCAGTGGCCGGCGGGGCAGGGCTTGCCAGAGGCCGGCAAGGTTCGCAGGCTGGAGGAAGAAGAAAGGGTAAGAAGAAAAATAAAAAAATCGAAGAAAACTTAAAATATTATTAAATTTGTCCACATCATCGCGTTTGCTCACATTTTGTCCACATTAGCAATATCCGGCTAAAATTAGTCGAATGACCGAATTGGCAGACAAAAACAAAAGGTTTTATGACTAAATTGGCACAAATGCAAAAGGTTTAGACTTTTCTAACATTTTTCCCTGATAATTTGTGTAAAACAAAAGAGACTAAAACTTCTGGCCAGGCTTCAACGTGCCAACCATCGTTGCCCTTTGTGGGCATAGCAAATCTAGCACTGGCTGCAGATATTTTTATCCTCAAGTTCCCCTAAGGACTGGATATATTCTCGTTGCTGCGGGGACCAAATTTTTAAAAAAAGAAAAAATTGGACGAAATTCCAATCGAATTTAGCTCGACTGGGCCTTCTTGTCTTCTTCTAATTTTCTTAATTTTTCCTCTGCAAAAAGATACCTCAGAAACTCTGAATTCGAAAGCTACACTTTGATCACACACAACAGAGGAAGAGGTCAATCGTTTTTGTTTGTCAATGGCATCCCAACAGGGTTTGCCCTACATCACACCCCCACCCCCCAACACGAGTGGCTTTCTATGTCCAACATTAATTACCCAAGTTTTTATATTACAAGAAAGATCAGGAGAAAAAAAGGGTGAAAAGGAATTTAGTACTAAAATATTGCAGCAACCCCGCCTCAAATTGTGACTGGAGATCTATCTGTCTAGAGAGCATTCTTCCAAAATAACAAATGTTTTTTTGGGACCACTTCTAATTGACAAATTTTCGATCGAAATGCATGGTTTAATAATTCGATATACAGGAACGTTCGGCGTAAATTGGGTATTGGACCGATGACTCGAGAAAATTTGAATTAATTTACGGATCCGTTGTTCTGACACCATATAAAATTTTGTGAGATAGCTGCCAACATTTTTAAGGAATGCAAATTATGAGCAATGCTTGGTTTGATACCTGGGTATTTTAATATAAGTTGCTCTCTTGTTTTTCCCTTCTTTATTTCCTTCATGTATTTCTTTTGTTCCTTTTACTTTTTCTTGGGGAAAAAAATATAAAATCAGTCACAAACATAACATGTTGTACACCTTACCAAAAAAAAAAAACATAACATGTTGTACAGATACTAATCTGGTCCTGATCCTTTCGATTTTACCAAAGTAGCTCTTAACCTTTTAGTTCGGTCCATGATTTGGAGAAACCTCTAAAATATCGTGCGTTCTTCATCCATTTCCTCGATTTATTTACATAACTTGTTCTGTGTAGTGGTTGACAACAAATGATATACGATGGTGAGATTCATAACCATGATTTAGTCATTAGCATAACATGTTTCGAAAGTGAAAACTTTCTCTAGCAAATGTTCAAATTAAAGCATGTAAATAGATTCCTCTCGTATGAACTAAACCAAAAATCTATAATGAAGCCAAAAGCATTGATTCAGCATTGAAAAGCCCTTTAATTTGAACTCAACCGATCTCCATATATACTTTAAAAATTGAAAATTATCAAGCAATTCCAAAAAGTCGAGAATCTTTAGGAGAGAATGCCATGTGAGCTAGATTTTGTACTTTTCCATACGCAGACGTACGCATCGCCTTCAATCCTTTGAGAAGTTTCGTCCACCTGATGATCAGTCTGAAACAATGATTGCTCAACTACCAATTTGACATTTGGGAAAACTAAGATTAATTTAATTCTCTCGAATTAATTAATCAAATTTGAGAGGAACAAAAGTAGTTTCACTGCCGTCCAAGTTGGCATCAGCAACAACACGACTTTCGAGCTACTTGATTTGATAACACCCACATGATTGCTATTGGATCAATGATGTAGTACCTCCATTGTCAATTATAGTGTATTCTATACCCTAACGCATATACGAAAAGCAAATACGTATTCATACCTTTTCGTATATCTTAATTAGTGTCCTTACGACTTACGTAAATTTCGTGCGCCCGACACAAGGATCTTTGTTCACCCCCTTTGTCCATATGGGTCTATGACTAGTACATGCCGACCCCCACGATAAATATATACAGGAATTGGTAACAATTACCAATTTCGAATTTTTAGC